ACTTGTTACTTCTCCTCCACCTCCCACCCCACTAGTTTTCACTACTATAAAATGAGGACTTTGGACCAGGTGTTGGTTCGGGCACAGTCAGTTCAGGGGCTGTAGCCTCAGTATAGGGAGGCTACAAGTCAGAGAAGTGGGGATGCTGGGAGAGAAACTACGTCCTGGATGGGGCCAACTGGCCCTCAGCTGGGCCCCTGGGTTTGGCACCCAGATGGCAGAGTGAGACAATGTAGAGGGCAGGCTCTGGAATCATACAGACCTGAATTCAAATCCTGACTCATTTACCAGCTGCGTGGCCTTGGATAAGCCACTTAATCTCTCTTGGCCTCAGTTTCCTTATCTTTAAAATAGGTATCACAGAATTTATCTCCCAGAGCTGTTGGGGGTGGAATTAAATGAGCTGTATAAAGTACAGCAATGGCATGTAATAAGCTCTCACTACTATGAACTGCTAATGGATGGTGGCTTGGGCAGGGGACAACAGGAGAACAGGGCTGAATCTTCCATATGGAGACCGACTAGCACACAGTTCCTTCCTTGCTCTGTGGAGTCTTACTAAAACTACAGCAACCACGCTCTCCAACCTCAGTCTAAAAACGTGGCCTAGAGTGGGAAAAGATATTGGAAATCAGAATTTTTCCAGAAAGCCCAGGACATATGGCCACCATACTCCAGCCTTCTTTTTGGAACTTGACAAGGGGTGAGCTGCTTATCCTATCAAGGTGAAGGCCAGGAGCCTCCTCCTATCATTTAGGAAAGGTCTTCCCTGGAACCAGCTCCCACCGTGAGCAAATAGACCCATTTTATCCCAACCCTCCTCTCTGTCACTGGAGCTTTGGTGTGGGGAATCCAAAGCAGAAGCTGTCTGGGCCCCATTCTCAAGCAACTTCTCCCATCTGGTTTGGATGGCAGTTCCACAGCTCTAAGGTTAAGTTCTGGTCTTAACTGGGAACATGATGTTCTTTGTCCCTTGAGTAGAGGCACTGTGGGTGGACAGGCTGGTATCGATGAGATCAGGAAGGGCCTCCAGTGGACCAGAGTTGATGCTGCCAGAAGCTAACAAGCAATGGGCATGAGTGAAGAGGAGCATAAGTCTACCCAGGGGCCTGCTGGGTCTTTCTACAGCCTCAGATAGCTAGGGAGGGATGCGTGGGACTTGCCTGACAAGTGACTGGGTGTCCTGGGGTACCAAGTCAGTCAGGTGGCCAGTCCAGAGACCTCCTGCCAGGGGTCTGGCTTTGAATGCTCCCCAGGAGAGCCTCATTCTCTCATTCAATCATTCATTGAGTACCAACTGTGTACCCAGCTCCATACCTGGCACTAGAGCTCCAGAGATGCATCGGTCATGGTTCCTGCCCACAAGGAGCTCACAAGGGGAAAGATGCCATCTAATTACTCACACACTTTCCTTCCCTGTTTGCTCTGAAGCCTAGATTACGTCCTGCTTCTACCTCCTCTGTGTTAGCCCAGCTCTGCTGAAAAGCTCTTCAGTATCTAGAGCTAGCAGTGATGTCACAGCCCAGGTTTACCCTCTTCCTTGCTGTCGCCTCTGAGATTCTACCCGTGGGAAATGCCACTCTGCGCGCTCCATCGTCCTGAGGAGGTCTCTCCAAGCGGTCAGCGCTGACAACCTCTTCCTTTTCTGTTTTCTGTTCTTTTCTTCCATGTTCTCTTGTCTTTTTCTGCTCTTCGTCTACTCTCTTCTCCTTATCCCCCTCCACCCACTATCCTGCGAAACCACTCCCATCCAGGCTCTGGGCTGCCCTCCTCAACCGGATACCCAGACTTCCCGGGAAGCAGAGCCAGCCTGTTTAATGCCTGTGGCAAGTGCCCTCATTGCAGGCAGAGCTGCCCTAGGCTCCTAGCATGGGAATCTTCCCTCTATTCCTCTCTCCTTCTGTCCTTCCTCAGGCATCTCCCAACTTCCTTTCCTCACTCCTTTCTCGCTCTTTTTTCTTACCTTCATTCCTCGCTTCATTCTCTAGCTGAAGGAAGGGTGCCCCCCACCCCATCCTCTGGAGAGAGTATAGGACAGCCTAGGGGTCCTTTGGTTGATTTGGGAGGGCTGCCTGCCTGCCCCCCACCAATCATGCCACTGTCCTCTCCCTGCCCCTGGGGTCCTCCTCCCTGTTCCTCCAGAACTTTCTTTGTGCTCCTTCACCATTCATCATTACTGCTGCCTTTGCCACCTCCTCATCGCCTTCGTTCTCCTTCGGGAGTTTCCTTAGGCCTCCTGCAGCCTCTCTTGGGGGTTCTCTGCATGCTTTCATCACACCGGTTTGCTTTGCTGCTCCTCTGGCACCTTCTTTCTCTTCTCCTCTCTCACCCCCTTCCTTCTCCTCTTCTTCCCTTTCCCCGCCTCCCACTGCCACCTCTTCCAGTAGCAGCCTTGCTTTTGCCTCCCCTTCCTCCCTCCCCCTTTCTCTCCATTGCCGCCTCCCTAACCCGTCTTATCGCCAGGGCCTGCGTCTACAAAAAAATAAATAAATAAAAAGGTCAGTGAGTGGAGGGAGCAGCAATAACCCCTAAAACAGTACTATCAGTGGAACATGATTGATCAATTGAATTCCATAGCGGCTGAAAAATGTGGGATTAAGTAGTGTATTATACGCACAATGAGTTGAGGCATGATGTTCATTTCAAGTTCATTTCGCCGGCCTCTGCCACCAGATCAGGCAATCAATAGGGGCAGCAGATATCATATATCACCTCTCTGCGGGCTGGGGAGAGAGCACCATAATCTCTCGCAAATTTAGAGTGACAGATTTGTCAAGATCTGAAGGGCCCCTGAATAAATGAAGGAAAAGAGATTCCTCCAGCCAGTGACCTGAGGACAAAGCTTTGCTCCCGCCCCTACACACACACACACACACACGCACACACACACACACACACACGGGCTGAGCCAAGCCACACACGGACATATATACAAACCTCCATAGATGCATGGCACGAGTCTCACCACACATATGTACACACCTGTGCACATATACATATGTGTGAGCACACGCACATAGGCGAGTGCACACTGTGCACACTTTACTCCCGAGGACCCACTGGTGACACTGCAATAACCATACACAAAGACACTCACTGCTTCCCTCAGTCCTGACAGCAGGGCTTCCCAAAAAGGTAGGAGGACTCCAGCAAGAGAGAATTAGATACAGTGAAACATGCAAAAAGCTATCAGGGATGGAATTAGAATGATGACACATCCTTGAAAGAGAAGCAGGCACAGGAGAAACGTGGGGGACATGGGCTCACGCTTCCCATGCCATCACACATGGACACACACATATCTTCAAAAAAGTTCTCACTCTGTCACTTACACATACCCAGACACTTATTTATCTGGATGTTTATATGTGTAGAAATGCATCTTCAGAGAAAATAGTCACGCAAAAGGGAAAAATAAATATGCCACACCCTAACTCATATAGAGAGATGCATACATCCTCTTAGACAGAAAATCACTGCAGAGGCTTACACAGGAAAAAAACAGAACCGCCAAGTTTAGTGTCCATAGGAACAGAGGGAACATAGAAATACTGTCAAGGCTGTCTCTGTGTCTCTCTGTCCTCAGACTTGATCCTGGTTTTCATTTCTCTCTCTCTCCTCTCTCTCACACACACACACACACACACACACACACACTTTCTTTGCTTTCCCACCCCCTCTGGAATAGAGTGGAGGAAAGACAAGAGGTCCCATTAGAAAAACAGACCCCATGCTCCGTCTGGGAAGCCAGCAAGAAAGCAAGAGAGAATAGCTGCAGGTTGAGGTTAATCAATATGTAATATTTTCTATGGTCTCCCGAATGATACTGTATGGTGTTACTGTATATAATGCAATATTGATTATATCATATCACATAATCACCTATAAACTGATATATATAACAGTCCCAGAGGCAGACCCTGGGGCCTACAGCATGAGCTGGTCCCAGGCCCAAGGCTCCCCATCTGGTCTTGGCCAAGCTGTGGCTGGGGAGGACCCAGCTTTGATCCAGGGGAGTTGCAGGGTGGGGGTTCAGGGAGAGGTGGCAGAGCAAGCACTTGGCCTACTGTATATTATGAAAATTCCAGTGGACATGACAGGAGAGCAGGGCTGGGGTGGAGGGGGCGGGGGGGACAGAATGTTGAGAAAGCCTGGATTGGGCAAAACGTGGACAGGATTGGCCTGCAGCCTCAGGGAGTGGGCATTAGTGTGGCACCACCGCGGCCTTTCCTTCGTAGAGCAAGTCTCAGTTCCTGTGGACACCTGCGGAAGGAACTAGGCAGCCAAGGAACTAGCGTCTAGTGGAGGCCTAGTGAGAGTCCAGATCAGGGGCAGAAGCTGAGCAGGGTGGCCTGGGCACAACAGCATCCACAAAGACCCTGTCTTCAGTCTTTAGTGTTTTACTGATCACCTGCATGCCACCTGCTATCCTCCTGCTCTAGTCTCAGTCCTGGCCCAAAGCAAACGGAATACCTCAGCTTGGCTTCAGGTCCCTCCCCCTTGGTGGTAAAGTTAATTACTTTACCCAGTCTCCATGTTACATTCGGCCTCAGAGATTTGATGATTTTCCACCCTAGGAGTTGGTGGAGCTGAAATTCATCTCAGAGCCAAGTTCAATTCTCCACAGGCTGGGTAATGCTGGTTGGAGGTACCCAGCTCCTTCCCCAGGCTGACCCGGGCCAGGGGACAGGAGGAAGTTCAGGGGAGATGGCCCCTGGGAGGTCCTCTGGCTCCACCTCTGTTAGTCCTTCCAGCCCCCCATGCTGGGACAAATTCCTTGTGTTTTCCTAGGTCCTTTGGAGGCTCTGGCTTCCTCAGCCAGATCTCTGAGGCATGGCCAGACTCTGGGCCAGCCCCTCCAGCCTCAAAGTTGAGAGTAAGGGGTCCCAGTACAGGTAGAAAGCCCTAGAGATCAAGCCAGGTACCTCCCCTTTGCCCACTGCACTACTTTGTGCCTCTGCAACCTCTGCTGATGCCCTGAGTGTCCATGTGTCCTCCAGATGTGTCCGAGGGCTCAGTCCCCAATGGAGACTCCCAGAGTGGCGTGGACAGTTTGCGGAAGCACTTGCGAGCTGATACCTTCACCCAGCAGCAGCTGGAAGCTTTGGATCGGGTCTTTGAACGTCCTTCCTACCCTGACGTCTTCCAGGCATCAGAGCACATCAAATCAGAACAGGTGAGGAAGGTGCTTTCTGTGTGCAGAAGTAGAAAGGAACTGAGCAGAACTGGCCTCTGGAGAATGTGCACAGGGATCAGCCATGTGCACACCCAGCACTGCATATGCTACACATGGGTGCGCCATGTGTGGGCCGTGTGAACAGGCTCACATAGGACATTACAGTAGAGTTAGGACACATCATTATAGTGTATGGTAGTTAGAAATGGTGAGTTCTTGGTGCAGGAATGGCCTCGGTAAGTCGTACCCGCCTCAGTTTCCCCATTTATAGAATGAAGCACTTGAATATATGATCTAACAGGTCCCTTCTGGCCCTGCCATTCCCTGATTCCAGTGTAGAGTACTCAGAAATGTCCTCTTGCTGTGTCCCTTGCCTAAATGCCCCCAGAGTCCTACAGAAAGTCTGTGTAAGCCTGTGGCACTCTTCTTGCCCCGCTGTGTCTGCCTCTTGCTCCCTAATCTAGCTGTCCAGTGTGACTCCAGGCAGGCTGACAGCCTACGCCTCATACCCAGTACTTCCTACAGATGCAGAATAGTGCAGAACACACAGCATGGGACACAGCCCACAGCACACTTGCACAATACACAACATAGAAACACATCTCCTAACTCCTCACATTTACCATGTACACATGTTTACATGCCGCCACCACCACCCAGCTGCTCCCTCCCTGCCACAGCCCATACTCACGGCATTTCCCCCAGACCACCGGCTCAGCACCCTCCAGCACTCGTGTCCACCCACACCTCAGTGCAGCCTGCAGGGCAAATGCTCAAACATGAGAGCACACGCCCATTTCTCCTACACATATGACCCAGGCCGGACCCACAACCACAACAACCACACACTTTGCTAGCACACATGCATGGGTGCATGCGCACCCAAGCACACGCACACCCAAGCACACGCGCACCCAAGCACACGCGCACCAGCACAGCCCCGCTGGCTCCACACAGCACAGTTCCACTCTAGGACTCAACAGCTCACAGCCACTCGCCTTTTTCTCCGCCCGTCCTTTTATCCTATAAGCTGTTTGTCTTCATAAAACAAAAATCAAAAGTCTTTTTAAGGTGCCCTGAGCCATAAACCAACAAAGGAGGAGCCGGCTGAGGCGGGCGGCTTGGTGCACCCTCCCTGAGTCCCCGGCTGTATTACAATGAATAACCTTTATTTACTTTCATTAGACTATTAAACACCAGCACAGTCATTTTTCCCCCTGAAACTCGGAGCAGGGCCCATAAAGCAAATCCGAAGCCTAATTGAGTTCATTTTAATTTCTCTCCGATCACAGCGAATTACTCTGGTGATAAATCAGGGGGCAGCTTCACCCCCAGTAGAAGGCCTAATTTGCAGCTAATTACAAAACTGATTTCTACAGGAAGATCAATACGAGAAGGAATTGGAAATGACGAGGCAATCCCGTCCAGCCAGGGAGGGGAGGGGGTCCTCTGGGGGGGGCCAGGAAGCGGAAGGGAAAAAAACGAACCCGAAAGAGCAGAAAATCAGTTTTAATTTAACGTAATATTAATCAGAGCAACTTTTCCTGCTTTGTGCAGGCTCCTGGCCTGCCCAGCTCCGGGGTCTGGCTTGGCGGTGGCTGCAATAAAAAGGCAATTACCAGAGTGTTCCGGGCAGGACACCCTTTCAGAGTCAATGACTGGCCCCCTCCCACCCTTCTGTTAGCCATGTGGACTCTCCCCCTCCCCAATTTCATACCCCAGTGCACAGGCAGAGAGCGAGGGGCCCGTGGGGCTGTCTTTGTTTGTTTTTAAAAAAGGGGCGCCAGCACCCTTTCAGCCAGCCCAGCAGTGCCAGGCTAGAGGCTCCACTAGGCCCTTCCCCCAGCTACTGCTTCTGCCATCATGTCATGGTCCATCCCTCTTCCCCAAGGCTCTCAACCCCAGGGGTTCCTTAAAATACCCCTTGCCTCTCAGCAGGGGGATCCTCGCTGCTACATTCCACCCTTGGGGCTTCTGAGGCAGGAACTGCTACAGAAATGTAAAGGGTGCTGGGATAACCACCGATAATGTATAGGCTGCACCTCAGCTTCACAAGTCAGGTCTGCCCCCACCCACACAAAACTCTCCATCATTCGTCGAGCCCGCCCCTCCCACTCTGCCCTCCCTCTGCCTGGCCATCTCCTTCCGCCCCGTCTGGGAGCGCTCCTCGGTCCTCCTCCCCATCTGCACACCGAGCCCTTTCTCCGTGTGTGCGCATCAATAGAGAGCTGTCGCTTTTCTCTCTCTTCCCAGGGGAACGAGTACTCCCTCCCAGCCCTGACCCCTGGGCTTGATGAAGTCAAATCGAGTCTATCTGCATCCACCAACCCCGAGCTGGGCAGCAACGTGTCAGGCACGCAGACATACCCTGTTGTGACTGGTAAGGGGGCTTCCAGGAGGGTGGGGGCACAGCTTTTGGTGAGGGCGCCTCAGCCCATGCCATCTGGGGCCTAGTGTGACAAGTGGGCCCCCTGCCATGATATCTGTAGAGACAGCGAGCCTCCCAAAACCAGGGTGCTTCCTGAATAGACGTGCATAGATTTGAAGAGGGAAAAATGTGATCAGGGCCTCTGTGTGCTTCAGCCTGAAAACGGGGCTGTCGGTGGCTCTTTCTGCCCATCCTCTTGCCTCTCTCCTTGCCTTTCATTGCTTGCCTCCACCAAGGTGCCCAGAATTATAAGCCTCTTGCTAGGACTGGTGCAGGAGAAGCCAGAGGGTAAATAGGCCAGGATGGCGAGAAGAGAGCATGAGAGCCCAGTGTCCAGCCTCCATGCCCTTGTTTCCCCAAGGCTGCTGGGAACCTGCTTGCCTCTCCCTCTGGGCAGCCTGGATCACTGTAGCTTTGGGCTTCAGGACATGGCATCCAGCTCTGTGGTTATAGATAAGCACAATTATCTCAGTCCTTCTCCTGCTTCCTAGAGAAATTACAGAGACTAAGGCTTGATTTCAAGGCAGGCAGGGTCAGGCCTGTCCCACAGGGGTAAGGGGCACCAAATCCAGGGGCTCCCATTGATTAGGAGCAGCAGAGGCAGCTAGAGTGGAAGAAGGCCGAGGTGTGACACAGTGAGGGGCCCAGCCGATGAAGCTCTAGGTCTCAGAGCTGCCAGCTGTGGAAGGCGCCTGGCATTGCAGAAGGGTTTCCAGGCCAAGGAAGTGCCCAAGTGGGAGAGACACACATTGAGGTGTTATTAAAATTCACCTAATTATTCTGGAGACACTAAAGCCAATGTGCCGTTTGTTCCTTGGGAGACAGAATGATTGAGAAGGGTCTCGGTGGGGATTGGGAGACACTGAGGCGTTACCTGCCGAGCAAGGCGAGCGGAGGCGGCCTAGGGACCTGGCAGCAGGACTGCAAACAGCTAGCTTCACAGTTAGTGGCAAAGACAGGGAGCAGGCCTAGCCCTGCTGTAGGACAGGGCCCTGGTTCTGATGTGCAGCTGATCTGAGTACAGCTGAGGCCTAAGGTGGGCTGCAAGTGGCCACTTAGCCTCTACCTGGTGGGGCTTGGGAGAGCCCTGTTAGCTTTCCCAGGTTCTCCTTAAGGGGTGTCCTGGTACAGCTGTTTCTAGCTAGACAGAGTTGAGCTATTTGGCTAAACAATGAGAGACTGAGTCCTGGAAGTGTCAGAGAACTGGGTGGATGAGCTTTGGGGAGTGACAACCTTAGCTGGACGAAGACACAGCCTATTATCAACTGGCTCTTGACATGAGCTCTCCTTAGGCCAACTCAGAAGCTCTCTGAGCTGCTGGGTATTCTGACCCCAGGCAGAGAGATGGCTCAGGCCAGGCCACTTTTCTCCTGATCTGCTGAGAGTGACGATGATCACTTTCCAAAGATAAAAGAGAGCCCAGTAGACTTTCCTCTAATCCCAGCTCTGCTTCCCTGGGCCCAGGGCCATGGTCCAGAAGGCAGGAGCTTTCGGGGGTGGAGAGATGGAACTTTCTGGGGTGGAGAGATGGAACTTTGAGGCAGGGCTCCTGCTGCAGAAGAACTTGGGCTGGTACAGAAAAGTCCTTCCACCTTGAGCCTCCCCCACCCGCCTTCCCCCCCATGGCCCTGGAACAGTCCCAGCTCAGCCTGGGAACATCTCCGGCTGATCCATCTGGATCCAAGTGTGAGAAAAGTTCATTTCAGACCCAGCTTGACATTCCCAGGTGGCAAGTTAGCACTAACATCTCAATCTGTATGCGACATTTCAATCAAGCGAGGAGTAACAAAAGCAGAACCATTAACATTCGGAGCTGTTCACCAGTGGTAATGACGGGGAAACTCGCTCAGAAACTGGAAATTACCAAAAAGAGAGAAGTGTGTGGAGAGGTGGGGGAGGGGAGGTGGGAGGGGCTAGGGGCAGGGAATGATTTTCCTACACTTAGGCCAAGATCCAACGTTTGGATGAATGGTGCCATTACCCGAGAAAGGGCTGCTCATTCTTAAAATGTTTTTGCTGGCAATTAAATGGCTGCAGTTATTGATCTTTGTTGATTTTATGTCCTCCTAATTTGCATAATCTATTAAAGATGAATGATTCATGATGTGTTTATTATGGGGACAAACAGAAGTTGCTGGAGGTACCGTCAAGGTGAGAAACAGGGCAGTGCCCAGAGACTTCATGGGCCATCTCAGGAGCGGGTCCAGCATGTTGGCCTCCAGGCCAGGACTTTGTGGGGAGCAGTGAGCAGTGATGTAAGGAGAGCAGATACAAGAGTTCTAGAAACATATGGGCCTCTGTGAGAACCAGGCTCCAAGCATGGCTGGGGTGTGGGAGAGTCTTTTGGTATATTTGTAGAAATTCTCCTCAAAGATTCTTAAAAAGCTGATTTTGTTGGAAAATATGAAGGGCTTTTTTTGGTGGAGAAAGAAAAGGGGAGGCCCTTTCAGGCAGGTGATTCTGGCCAGATATGTGCTCCCATGAGAGGGTTGCGGGGAGGGATCAACCAATGCCCACAGCCTGGCTCGCATGTACCCAGGTGTTCAAGGAGCCTTCTTCATCCCGCATATCTCAGGCACCCAGCTCATCTTCTTCCCGGGGGACAGGCAGCTAAGGCTGCAAACCTCCAGGATGAGTCCCGATGAAACTGGTCCAGAAATGTCCTAGCCCAACTTGAAGAGCTGACCTTATTGATATTCCTGCCACCTCCTGGCACTGGAGGCTGATTTCAAACTTCACCAGCCACTTGATACAACTGTTCCACAAGGTCAGGACTGAGAGGAGAGAGGAGCTTGGACTATTGTGTGGAGGGGAGACTGGGGCCCAGTGGGCCAGGACACAGCTAATCACATTGCAAGCAAGGGTGGCTGCCAAAGGCTGGGGCTCAGCCTGATAGCCTCCCCTCCCCACCTTCCATCGTGGAATCAAGGAGAGAGACCGATTTTTCTGGGTAGTGTTTGCAAGTTCTGCCGAGATTTTAATTTCACTGCATCACAACTCAGCAAGCTGCCAAGTCAAGCTGGTTATTTAAATTTATCACCCACTTTCCCTTCCGCCACTGGGCTGCTCTAGCTCAGCGACATCCCTTCTCTCCAGCCCACTGCTCTAGGCTGCTGGTCTGGAACGGAGCCGAGTTGCTCCTAAGTGATAAGGAAAAAGGGACCAGCTAGATAAGAGAATGGGCTGGGGGCATTGTGGCCCCAGGCTTCCTCAGGTTAGCTGGCTATGTCTGGTACCCTTCTAAGGACCCCACAGAGGGCTGCCATTAAGCCCTTAGTAGTTCCAGGGACCTCTGGGTCAGGGCCTCTTCAGTGAGGACTCTGGCTCTGACTGTGAGTTGGTGCCTTCATTCCTTCACGTCTCCCATCCCTGGTAGAAAAGAGCCTATCTTCCCCATTACCTTCTCACCTCGACCCCTCCCTTCCTGTGCCTGGCCAGGTCTGCAGCCACAGAGGAACATGAGGGGACACTGGCATTAATGTTGAGCTGGGAGGAGAAGATGACTACTAGTTTTGGGATTCCCAAAGTCTCTTGGAGATGCTTCTGAGCATTGAGAGAGTCCCTTGACCTGGCGAAAGTCTGTCATGAAGGTGAGAGGAGGTTCCCTACCCTGGAGCCTGAATGGAGCAAGATGGTGCTGGAGGAAGTCAGAAATTGTGCAGAGGCTCTTCATGCTCCATCTAGAAGCCGAGGAATACGCCGGTCCCCGGAGCTGCTCCACTGCGCAGGCTTCACTGGCCTCTAGTGGGAATCACTGCCAGACACTGGGAGAACGTTGTGAAGGGTAGCTCTCCCCTCCCTCACTTTAGTCCCAGAGAAGTAATGGAAGAATGAGACTGAGGTCTAGAAACAAGGCAGGTGAAACTCACCAAAACACAGCTGGGTAAAATATAACAACAAGAATTGTTAATACACAACCAAACTTCTCTCTCTGGTGCCAGATATAGAGGGAAACTCAAATCCAGAGCAGTATATGAGAGACTGCTGGTATCACACTGGAGGTAAACCCTAACTGGGAAAGCTGGGGTTTTAACGTACCAGGCAGGAGACATGACCTTGAGTCCAAGAGAAGCAAGAAGCTAGAACAGAGTATTACCCTGCATAAAGCCAGGAACAGAGCAGACAACACTGTTTGTTTGTGTGTTTGTGTGTTTATGCGAGAGAAACACACAAACTCATCCCAATGGCCCAGGGAAGCAAGTGAGGGGAGAAAAGTCTCCATGAGACATGGAGACCCTAAGCCTGACCCTGGATCAGAGTCCAAATTTATACTATGAGTATGTGGCAGGAACCACTAGCCAAGAACTTACATAAAAATTTGTCCAGGATAGTAATCCATTCAGGAACCCGAACAAGAACAAGGGCAAACCTTCTCTGCAGAGACATTCCACAATCCAGGGCACCTGGAACTCCCACAGAAAAAAAATTCACCGCTAAAGATGAGCTCACTATAAAAAATTACACACCTCATATGAACACAAACTATCGTAAGGGAGAGTTGGCAGAAGCAATAAATAGGACAATTAACACCCCCCAAGAACTGGAGATCATAAAACAATCCAAAAGCAACTATAAAATAAGCATGTTTAATATGCTAAAAAAAAAAAAAAAAAAAGATAGAAGTATAGTTTTGTGTTTATCACAGATCTGGATTCCACATCCCCTTACCCACCACTGCTCAGAAAATCGTGAGATAACGGAGATAATTAAGAGAAAAGAATGAAGACCACACCTATAGTTTATTGTTTTGGGGTGCTGGAGCCATAGAAAGAGATGGGCCTCAGGTAGCCCTGAAAGTAGAGCCTGATTCCTGCTTATCCAAACTCCCAGACAGCTAAGTCTCAGCAGAAAATCTTCTCTTTACTTTGGAAAAATGTCTGAACATTGGAGAACTGTGACAAGGGCAGTGTGTGTGTATGTCGGGGGCCGGGGGGAGGGTAAAAATAAAAGGC